TGTTCTTCTGTCTACCATCTACTCTACCATTCCTGTAGCTGTGTGTGTCATCACGTAGACAGAAACGCATTCTTCCAGCTCACTGATCAGAAGAAACCTGATATCCTCTGACTGTTTTACAGATGATTATGGTCTCATTCTGGAGAGCCCCGTCCATCCTGTAACTGAGGGAGCTTCTGTCAGTCTGAGCTGCAGACAGAGAAGAAGAGCCCCACTTTCCAAAGTGGATTTCTACCACGATGCCAAACTGGTGCAGAATGGCAGCAGAGCGGAGCTGAACATCTCTGCTGTGTCCCAGTCAGATGAAGGTTTCTACTGGTGTGAAGCATCAGGGAGGCGTTCAGCACAGAGCTGGGTCTCAGTCAAAGGTCAGCAGGGCTCCTTCACAGCTGGAGGATGAAACCTTCCTGTGGATGAGTCTGCTCATCTGTTGTGTACAGGAGGTGTTTCCAGAGCTGAGAGCTCCTCCTTTCCTGTTTTGATGGTCGTTGGAGCCGTTGTTGGAGTCTTTCTTCTGGTTCTGCCGCTCCTGCTGTGTCGCTGCAGACGGTCTGAAGGTGAGAGCTTTTTGTTTTACTGAAGAACATGGAGACCTCCTGAGGACGCAGATTGGAACAGCAGCACAAAGCAAACCTGTTTTTTTCTGTTGTTAAAGCTTCTGCTGCAGAGCAGATGGAGAACCAGGATGGAAACCAGCAGCAGCTTTACTCCTCTCTCCTGCACGGTCAGTTTTCCAGCTGCTTCTCAGTGTTTTCTCACCTGTTTTAAGCGTCAGTCAGCATCACAGACACGAGGAGCCTGGTTTTACTGAGCTGTGGCTTCTCTGCCCTGCAGGAGATCTCTGTGTCTATGAGACCGTCAGCGGCTGTCAAACCTCCGGAGCCGGTAGAGTATCAACTTAGACTCTAACACAGAGCTGCTGGAAGTTCTCTCTGCATAAATTACATTAGAGTCTCTGATTCTTCTGTTTCAGGTCAGCAGGAAAGCGATTACAATAATGTTCCATCTGTGATCCAGCCCAAAGGTCAGAACCAGAGGAGTGAGTCCACATCTGGACGTGTGATGATCCTCAGCAGTAAGCTGCAGATCAAACAGAGACTGTGTGTTTTGATATGTTTTGTGTGATCATGTTAACAGGAGAACAGACAGGAGGACAGCTCTGAGTTTGGAGCCTGGATCCAGATCAGACCTAAGGTAGAAAAGCCCTTCAGAAGCTCTGTATCCTGACCTCACAGTGCTGGGCGCTGAGGTTAATGAGGAACATTTTAAAGTGTGGGAATCATGCGTTTACTTTGTGTTTTCATGGGAATTACAACCTCATAACTAACTGATACACTTATTCTGTATTCTGATAATGTTTCCCATGAAAAATTATTTACGAGCTTTTGTACTTCTCACTTGATCTGAAATGTCTCATTTTCCTCCTTAATTTGATCACTTATCCAACAGAATATGAAAATCATTTAAAAAGATCTAATGCTAAATCATGCCAGACAAAAGGAGTGTTTGATAAGTTGTTTTTGCCTTTGGGTTCTTCTGTCAGATGGTGCAGGACTCTGAGTTTGAACCTGGCCGATCCGTCCACACCGTCATGTGGAAGTGGGCCCTGCCACCAAAATCCATGAAAGTCACCACAGCATCCACGTAGTCTTTGGATGTCTGGAGCAGATGTGACGGTTTTTAAAAGAAAGCAAAGCTTGTATTAAATCTATATTTTGGCACTGGGATTTGGAGTCTGTTGTGTGGTTTTTGTGTGGCTCTCACCAATCTGAGGCCTTTTTGTAAAACACAGTTTGGATCTCAGGTGTTGTTACTGTGAGGGCTCCACCTGTGCACCTAAAACCATGGCCGCATGGTTCTGAACTTACTGTAAATGACGAAAAAGGGATCTTTAAGAACTGAGAGCACTGTGATGCACTGTGTAAAATCGCCAGAAGATCACAAACAAAAGCTGAAACACAATCAACAAAGAGGCTATGTAGTTCCACTCAGATACACGACAGTTGAAGTAGTTGGGTCCTAAGTGGGTCAATGTTTTTCAAGGATTTGAAAGACAGAAACCATCAGCACAAGACAGCACTGAGGAAGCAGAAGAAACCAAAGAAAAGCTGAAAAATACATAGATTGGAAGAAAAAAGGCTGAAGGGAGGGAACATTTTGAAAAGCTGAAAGTAGAGAGTGGAAGAAGAAGGGTAAAAGGATTATAAGAAGAGTAAAAGACCATGAAATTATTGATAAAGTACAAGAGGATTTGGGTGGGATTTGAATCAGCAACTTCTTGATCTGCAGTCAAAGGCTGTACCACTGAGCTACCACAGGCTGCAAAGCTTAAAGGAGTAGAAGTAGTTATGGAAAAATAAAGACAAACAGGAAAACAATAGTAATAACTAGAAAATTTCAGAAGAAATTTTGAGGGGGGCCACCTACTGCCCGTCCAGGAACCCGGGGCTGGCTTCCTGGGGCCTCAAAAGGGGCCCGGCAGCTCGGCCAATCTATATTTAGGCTCTCTGTAATATGGGCTTGCGCCTATGAGAGGGCCTGAGGGTGAGACGCAGTCATGGAGGGACCTGGCTGAGCTCTGGGGCCCGCTGACCGAATGCAATTGGTTTGAGCAGGTCCGGGGTCACATTGGCTGAAAGCTGAGAAAAAGACCTACGCAACGAGGTATGATATGACTGGGTCCGGCCCCGGTCCGGTCCCGGCCCGGTTGGGTCCGATCCCCAGAACCAGAACTACAACCGGGCTCTGACTAAAGCCCTCTAAGCGGGCTTCGCCCGCCTGGTAACAGAACCAATGTATTTCTTAAAAAGTCACTGAGAGCGGGCTTCGCCCGCCTGGTACCAGAACCAATGGATCCATCAGGCCCACAGCTCTGCAGAGCTCTGCTGATCGCCACGGCAACGGCAGCCTGGCCCAAGTCTCAACTGCCACACCTGTGACTCATCACTGAGCTTCACCTCTGACACAGACCCAACTGACAGATTGGATTAAAAGTATCCTCCGAACTCCTGCCCGCTGTTCAAAAACTAAAAGAGCGAATTTTGAAATTCTTCAACTTTGAACGGCATGAGACTTTCAGGTTTCAGCCAGTTGATTTTTTTCCGGCTACTCCCAGCTGTTATTTTTTTATGGCAATTTCAAAATGAGGGCCGTTTTGTCTCTGATGAAAGAAATTTCTCCTTTCTCCCATTAAAATCCTATTGGAGAGGGTTGTGAAAGTCTGGACTCTGGGCCCGATTGCCGGAAAACCGTAAGGCCGAGGTCAAAAGCGGATACATCGGCCATTTTGGCGCCGCTCGGCCCCACGGTTTGGTTGTGAGACGTCAGAGTTTGACTTTTTTTTGGTGAACGTCCCCACAGGGTTC